TTTTTTTTAATTTGGTGTTAAATTCGCCTGGAGGGAAATGGTTTGGAGCAATCCACTGAAGGAGGTGGCGGCCTCCAGGCCATTGTTCCTGACGATCTACGCCACTGTGATTATCGGAATTGTAGTGTCGTCGTTTTACGTGTTCTCCGCCGTTTTCTCCGGTCCGAATTCCGCCTCTTCTCCGTGGTTCTCCACCTCAGCTGCCGTCGGCGGTGAGTACAGTTTTTGAGTTTAAGAGTCTTGATTGTAATGCGGATACTTTTCCAAGCGGTGTTTCCGTGTGTTTGTTGGTCCTGTAATGCGAGTGCCTTGCTCTTGGTGGGGGGTTTACTTACTAGTTACTCCCTGGTTTTGCTTTGCTTTGCTTTGCTTTGAGATATAGATTTGGTGAAGTTCAATTCAATTGTGATGGATTTTTGGAGATTAGTTGTACGAATCATTCAGACGGGTTGACTCTGTGAACTAATTAACCTATTTTGCCTAAGCGCGCACACACACGAGCGATTGATGTTCTGATCAATGAAAAGGATGTATGTGATTACTATGAGGGGTTATGTGGGGGAGGTATTTGAAAGTCCGACATTAATTGGACAAGTTTTTATTTTAAGTGAAGAATTAGGTTCTTGTATCTTATCTCTCATGTATTACACAAATATCACTATTTTGTCAATTGTTCTTGCAAGGTTATGTTGTTGAATTGTATTCATTCACAGATGGGGACACGATTCTTCATTTGTTTTAATGTTCCACATTAATCTTCATAGAAGTTGATTCTTTGTTTGTAATCATCTCTTCTTTAGTGCTTTTTGCAATCTTCAATTTAATTGGCTTGGTCTGACGCAATGAATGCATTAGCCACGACAGATGTAGAAAGCTGATGGTGTGTCTTTTGATTGCTAATACAATTTTTATTTATACTCTTCTTGCATACTATAAAAGCAAGCCCACCATCCTACAATCAAGCATCCAATTTGTCTCGCCAAGTATGGGCCGGCGTGGCTCCAGGTTCAGCTTCCCTGACTCAAGAAGTACCTTTAGAACCTATTTGGAAGGCCCCCCCTCCAGGTTCAAAAATGCCACCTTTGGAGACTTTTCGTCTGTCAAAAGAACTGGTACAGAAAAGAGTGAAAGATAATGTTATAGTTGTGACCTTCGGTAACTTTGCCTTTATGGATTTCATCCTGACATGGGTTAAACACTTGTCAGATATGGGCGTTAATAACCTTCTTGTTGGTAAGCTCTATGGGTGCCACCCCTTTATGGGATAGCTTATCCTTTGCCAAATAACTTCTATGGTAGTCTAACAAAGAAGATTTTTGTCCTCAGGTGCAATGGACACAAAACTGTTGGAAGCTCTTTATTGGAAAGGTGTTCCAGTATTTGATATGGGTAGTCACATGAGCACTATAGATGTTGGATGGGGTACCCCTACTTTTCATAAGATGGGGAGGGAGAAAGTTATTCTGATAGATTCTATCTTACCTTTCGGCTTTGAACTACTGATGTGTGATACTGACATGGTCTGGTTAAAGGTACTTCATGCGTAAATTTACTAGCTTTTCTGATTTCTTTTGAATTGTTTTTTAAGTTGATGAGTTCAGGCTATTTCATGTGGGTAATATTAGTTCTGAATACCATGAAAACTGCTGCTTTTGCAAGCTTGGCTTTTATCCTTTTATATATTCAATTGAATAGAGAGGCACTATGTTCGTAGCTGCATGCTTTAAGTGTGTAAGCGAACTGCACAAGCATCCTTGTTATCTCTATCTTTTTTTTTTTTTTTTTTTTTTTTTTTTTTTTTTTTTTTTTTTTTTTCTAGTTGAAAGAGATGATACTCTAGTAGTTGCTTCAATGCCCTACTCATATACCTGAAATGAAGAGGATAAGGTCGTTGCTGCTATGTTTAATCTCTGTGCAATTTTTGTTGAACAGAATCCCCTACCTTATCTTGCACGTTTTCCTGAAGCAGACGTGTTGACTTCCACCGATCAAGTTTCACCGACTGTAGTAGATGACCGCTTGGATGACTGGAGGACAGGTAATTCTCCCATGGAAGAATTTTCTGTTGCTTAGTTTCTTTTTTCTTGATCCTAGAAAAACTTAGTCGATGTCCACAGTTAAAGGAAACATTTTCTTCAACTTTTTCTAGGAATTGGTTGTTCGCAGGATTAGTAGAGTTCTCAACTTCTGGCTTTTGAGATACTTCCTAATCCCTGAAAATGATTTACAGGATTATTTTAGTTCCTCATTATATGTTGCCTCAGGTTTCTTAGCATGTCGTAAGTCAGCATGTGGAAACTGACTAGGTTGAAATTGATATATTTGGGTAACCGCTACAAATTTTGAGAGACAACGGGACAAAGATTTTATTCGGGTAGTTCACTGTCGTGAAACTAGATGAGTTGGTTGTTTAAATTGTAAATTGTAGTCTTGTATTAATAAAGAGGAAGTTGACTTTGTCTAAGGACATTGCGCATTGAATGTTTCTGAAGAATTTTTTGTTGAGAACTCGAGAATTTTGATCCTTTATTAACGAAGCAGCTTAATATTTGATTGTTCCTTCATCCTTGCCCAATTTATAGACATAAGAAACATCATACTTGTTCTACTTCTCCATCACAAGATTTTGAAATTGAGAATCTTTTCTCTATTCACAGCTGGCGCTGCCTATAACATAGGAATTTTTCACTGGAGACCAACTGCATCTTCAATGAAACTTGCAAAAGAATGGAAGGAATTGCTTCTATCTGATGAAAAAATGTGGGATCAAAATGGTTTCAATGAAATTGTTCATAGACAGTTGGGCCCATCTGTTGATGAAGACAGTGGACTTGTATATGCTTTTGATGGAACCCTTAAGCTTGGCCTTCTCCCAGCAAGTATATTTTGCAGTGGTCATACATACTTTGTCCAGGTCTTTTACAATCCCTTTCCATCTATCTCCATGGGCAACATGTTATTGGAATCAATTAAAGATCTTAAGGGGTGCATATTGTTTGCAGAACATAATTCTGAAATTCCTTGAAGTGCAATTGCTGACAAAGGTGTATTAATTTTTTCTTTACTTGGCAGGCCATATACCAACAACTTAGGCTGGAGCCTTATGCTGTCCATACCACATTTCAGTATGCCGGTACTGAAGGAAAACGCCACCGGCTACGTGAAGCTATGGTTTTCAATGATCCACCAGAATATTACGATGCACCAGGTTCTCATTTCCCTGTTCATTCTCCTTTAAGCTTCCAACAGATTCTTAACTCTTTATTTAGTATCTTTTGAAGGTATTTCTAACTAATTAATGTGATTAATTAATTTTTTGGGTTTAAATTAATTCAATTAATTTTTTTATTTTTTTTGGTGTAAATCAGTTCAAGTAATGATTGGACCTAATTGAATTGGGCTATATGATAAGAACGATAAAAACTCATGTATATGATGTGGTGGCTTATCTCATGAATTTCTTATAGTATGATTTTTGAAATGTTGGTATGGTCAACTGATAATATGACAGCTTCGGATGATTTAATTTTAGGCAAGATAGGATGTTAATGATATGCGGAGTAGTATGAAATTCAAGAAATTATATAAGAAGGATGATATATCAGTGCAGTTATAATACTCTTCAATCCGATCTTTGTTGTCATAGCTTGTTTCCAAATTCAGCTTATAAGGAGTATGTGCTTGATACTTTATAGTTTCATTTAATAAGACAGGTTAAGAGAATTTTAAACAAAAACTTAAAACATAAATCCATTCGAAGAAATCGAACCTTACTTTAGGGACATCCAAATGGAAAAGTTAAATGAGGAAGCCAATGAAGTCATAAGTAAAAAAGTATTCATAGGCAACTTCTCAGTTACTAAGGGCTTGCTTGTTTGTGGATTAATTTACTCACTTTTATTTCAACTCAAAATCTAACTCAACTTTAACTCAACCCTACTATCTTTAATATTATTCATATTATTAAACAATACAAACCAATCATTCTTATATTATTAAACAATACAAACCAATCATTCTTACACATCACATCAACTTTAATTCACTATTCATCTACTCACATTCCATAAACAATAAAGCCCTCATATTCCTAAAGAATTCTTTCTTACATCGTAATCAACAGTTCTGACTGCCAGCCAAGTATATCATAATGGCAATGAGTCTTGGTATGTAAAACATGGAGAATTCCATTTAATGGTTTTACAGTTCTATTTTAGAAGCGTGTAAACTGTAATCCTAACAAAATGTGACAACTTGGTGTGGAATAAGTGTAGAATATTCCATTTTATGCCTTTTCATTTTCCAACAAAGATTGTTAATTAATTTCTATTTTCTTTGTGAACAACGGTATGCAGGAGGATTTTTGACATTCAAACCTAATATACCTAAGAACTTGATGTTAGATGGAGAACACAATGTTGAGTCACACTTCGCGCTAGTTAATTATCAGGTATGTGCTTTGTTCTGTTTTTCACTTTCTATAGTTGGAATGAGTACCATATATTATGCTGACAACTAACCTTGATTTTCAGATCAAGCAAATACGTACTGCACTGGCCATTGCTTCATTGTTGGGCCGCACACTGGTCAGAATTGCTGATCTTTGACATCTTAAATTCTCCTGCAATTAGTTCGGCTCCTTTTTACATCCTATCGAGTGTCTTTCTTCTGTCTTATATTCAAATTTGAGTTACACGTTTGGCCTGCGATACAGATTGGTGACATAATATGTTGGTTACTTTGTGTTTCTTTTTAGTTCTTCCTGCGTATAAATTTGTTTTATTATCAACCTGTATTAGTATCCTGGCTCAAAATTTCTATTCTTAATTTGGTAAAATTTATCCCACCGTTTAGTTGAGGCTCCTTTGTGTTATCGTTGCTTTGAAGCTCCTTACATTGAACAAGTACACAAATGGTTTCATGTGAAAGAGCGTATGGTTTTACTTTTGTTAACTTCCATTTGTGTGGGCTCATGATCATAATGTCTATCTGATGTCTAGATAATATTTGTTTCTTCTGATGTGTTTCTATTTGAGTTATTTCCTTTTTGTGCTGCCTGTATTCTGGTTCTTGTTTGCCTTTACTAGGATTACTGTTTCTAAGAAGTGTAAAATGTTGACATTGGAATGATATGTAATATTCTGTTAAATCTATGACTAATTCTGGTGTCTTTACCCTGTTGTCAGCCGCTTAGTTTGAATCGCCATATATTTTCCATTTCAGAGACTTAGACCTCCTGTATCTGGTGCTAAGTACTGATCATTTTCTTTTCATCCATTTATTATTTTAATCTGAAACACAGTAACTATTATTGACTTCTTGTTTTGGATCCTGGGAAGGTATAGTGTGTATCTGAACAGAAGAAGGCGAGAGCTTTTCAGTTGTGCCCTAAAATATATTGGAGTTGTCCACTGAATTCAACTTGTAATCAAAATAAAGAAATGGCTTACTATTGATCATTCTTCTGACGTGACATGAGAATTCTGTTCTGTATATAAATAATAATGCACCTGCTTTAGACCATAAAATACTCATCAACCTTTGTAGAGATGTCGTACAAGGAAAATGAGTTTACTCTGGAGTTTATCTAGTTTGCTCACACTGGTTATTTTGGAGTTCATTTAGTGATTTTTTTTCTTATTTGTGATTTTAGGTAATGCCATCACTATGGTGCAGGTTGGATAGGCTGTGGTTTGGACATCCGGGGGTATTGGCGGGCACTTTGACTAGGCAACCATTTTTATGCCCTTTGGATCACGTGTTCGAGGTATTGACCATTCTCCTGGAACTACATACTTGATACGTATTTTTTAATATTAAACATAACCTGCAGGAAGTGTTATATCTTTCGCTTAAACATTTATTTTCAGTAGGTTATGTTAGATCCTTTTCCGTGTTGGATATTTTGTTGTGAAACTAAGTTTGGAAGCGAAATAGAAAGTTTTTGCACTTGTTTTCAGGCAAAACTATTAAATATTCTTGTTGATGAAATATATTATGCGATTGCTGGCTTGTGATTTCCCAGTGAACTTAGAATAGTTTTTCACCAGTAAATTTACCGCCTTTTTTTTCACTTTCTTTCTTTGCTTTGGTTGGGTTGGGGGTGGGGGTGGAATGGGAAGGTATGTACTTATTTACTGCCACAAACTTGAATGGATATTACCTGTATTCCTTTAATAACCATTGCAGTTATTTGTCTGAAGCTATTATTCCTACATTATCACATGCATATATGCAGATGTATACATGTGTTATGTGTGTGTATCCATGGTTTCATTTCCTCCTGATGATCACATGGTAAGGAAACCCCAAATTTCGATGGACTGCGACTCAATTTTGTAATAATGCTCACTATACAAGCATGTAATACCAAGAGATTTTGTGGGAGCTTAAAAGTGGATACACACTGCACAATGTTTTGTAGATTCTATAATCCTTGTCCTGAATAAGGAAATGATATCCTGTATGTCTCTTTCTTCCTTTTGTAAAAGTAAACCTTCGGGATCAATTTCCTTGCTAAACCCGGGTTACTTATTTGTTGTACTGATGATAAGTAAGTTATCTATCCAAAATTTCTCTTTTTATCCACTGGTTAATTACCTTGTGACACGATCAGTAACAACAATCCACAATGTACCACATAATAAAATTATTGATGACAGGTTGAGGTAGTTTGTGCTGGTTTGTTTTTTATTCATCTAATCCAGTTTTTTCTGGATTAATATAATGCAGGTTAATATAATGTTAAAGGAACTTCCAAAGGAGGAATATGGGCCTGGGATTGATATTAGGGAGTATTCATTTCTTCAGAATCCATCCTTGCCTCAACAGGTTCATGTTTTAGACTAGCTTGTGCAAAATTTACATTTAAATTAGCATTACACTTCCTCTGTGCTTTAAATAAATAATATCCTGGTCACTCATTTCAGGTGAAAGATTCGTGGCTTGATGTGCAACTTTGTCAAGAAGGATCACGTGGCTGTGAAGTTTCAAACAGCACAACACGATCGGGAATTCTCAAGTTCCCTAAGCGAAGTACAGAAGAAACGGTACCTTTGAAGTTTGAATAGGCTTCTTTTTTCTATTTATTTGTACTTTATGTAGTACTTATATGGTCTTTGTTGTGATTAATTTTGTTTTAAATTTTTAAAATTTAAAAACGAAAACTCATGGACATCATGCCTCGACTAGAAACACACTAACTCCTTGCTGGGCATACTTCTTTCAATGTAGAGTAGTAAAGTTGCTTAGATTTTTATAATTGTGATTCTTACTCAACACATGGTTGGAAGTACTCGCAATGAAACCTCAATTGAATGACTATTTTGTCCCTTGTAAACAGTTCAAGACCATATTCTCATCCTTCAAAGATGTCAAAGTCATTCAGTTCTCATCAATGCAAGAAGCCTTCTTAGGATTCACGGACAAGGTGCACTCTTCTTCCCAACACCACATTTTGACCCACCGTTTTCTGTTTCTCCTTTACTTTTCCATTCGTTACTAATCGTAATTTTGTTTGGGTGATTGCGTACGGTCAGACAAAGGAAGAAAGATTCAGGAAGCGTGTAAAGCTGTATACGGGCATATGGTGCTGTGTACAAGATAAAACTCCAGGCCACATATATTACGACATGTATTGGGATGAAAAACCTGGATGGAAACCTAAACCTCCTCAGACTCCTGAAGAGGACCATCCCCCATTATGAGTTTTACCTTTGAACTGCACACATTTTTTTTTCCCCCTTTTTTTTTCTTTATAAAGTCTGAGGAGAAATGTAAATCAAAACAAGAGGAGAAAGATGGAAGTAGCATAACCCACGTTATTTAATACTGTCTAATGAGAAGTGTATGTCCGTAGAGATGGTGCTCTTAAATCTATGTACTGAGGCTAGTGTTAGAAATTCTCTGTGTACACTACAAATAATGATGAATATTGAATATAAGAATCTATGTTTTTTTAATATTCTGATGGATATTGAATAATAACTAGTTTGTTAAATTAAACGAGTCTGACTCGGCTCGGCTTGGTTCGGCTCGTTAAGGCTCAAATTCGGCTCTACTCGTTTGATAAACGAGTTGAGATAGAGCTCATTTAAAGCTTGTTTGATTAACGGTTCGAAAAGAGAATTTTTATATACTTTCTATAATTGGACTCGCTAAAGCTCGAGATCGGTTCGTTAAGGCTCCAAATAGGTACGTACTATTTATTTAACCAGTGATCGGATTTTAAAACATAATACTACTATCTAATTTATTTTTTTAATATTTTATGCATAAATATAACTTAAATACTATATGTTTAAAATTTAATATCATGATTTAACTTATAATTACAATATCATATCTATATAAATAATTTATAATACTATATTTATATATGTGTAAATGCACATGGTCAAATACTAATTTATTTTAATTGATATTCAGTAGTTAATGTGATCTCCATGTTCAAATGTTTATTTTTTTTTTTTTTTCTAACCAAAACAAGTTTATTATTATTGTAATTATGATGGTGATGATGATGATGATGTAGTGATGAGATACACCTTATTATTATTATTATTATTATTATTATTATTATTATTATTATTATTATTATTATTATTATTATTATTATTATTATTATTATTACGAATTTCGTGCGATGCATGGGTAAGAGATATTCATTGATACTTATAAATAAAAATGCTTATTAAATAATAATAATAATAATAATAAATTAAAATATGAAATCAATACGTAATGCTCCCCTCCTCCCTGTATTAATTTATTTCAAATGTTATATAAAAGATAATTTGTGCAAAATTACATAAAACACGTCTATTGAAATTAGTACAAAACTAGTACAGTGCACATAACATGTAATAAATTACATCATATTCATATCAATTTTTTTTTTTTTTATTTTTCTTGGATACTAAATTAAATTTAAGATGTCTGAATTTTGTGATTGAATGATTTGTAAAGTGAAACGTTATATTTTTCAAAATTCATGTAAAACTGTGACAATATATATAGTCATGTACAATTCGATTACCAAATAGACAAATAGAGAACATAAAATTGTAATTTTATTTATCTTAATCATTTATATAGAAATAGAATTATTATTTATATTTACCATGACTTAAAATGGCATATTTTTATTATTTACCATAATTTTGTTGTTCACTTTAAAATTGCAATTATATTTGGATGGATTTTGTTATTGATTTTGTTAATAATATATAGAAATTAAGCAGGTTTAATATCTCTTATCCCCTCTATATATAATTTCATAACGTGATGAGTCTAAGTGGTAAGTTCGCACGCTTTGAATGTTGACATATTAAAATGATGTGCTTCGTAATTCGGTTTGTATAAATAACGTTGCTTTGAATTTATGTTTGGTACTTCACATAAATAGTTTATTTTCAAATTTGGTAATTATGCATTTATATTTGTCATTTTTTCTATTTCTCAAAATCAAATCTCACCATAGAAAATTCATACTACCTCCTATTTTTAATATTTGTCGTTTTGAGAAGTTGCACATTAATTAAGAATATTTTTTTTTTTTGTCAATAATACCCCTGTTTAATGAAGATAGAGATGAATGTTTTGAGAAAATGTAAAGAGTGAATATTTCAGGTTTGCAATTGGCTTGAGACTTAAGTCTTTCGTCAAGTTATGGTCGAGGTGGATAGCCAATGTGTGAAGAATATGGTACTTGGGACTGAAAATGAGCTTGGGGCGCATACGGCGATAGTACGGGTAATTTGTAGCATGCTTCAGTACAACTGGAGCGTGAGAATTGACCATGTGCATAGAGAAGCTAACTTTGCGGTGGATTACATGGCAAACTTGGCGGGTTCGCACACTTTTGGGCTACATCGTATGTCGGTCCCTCCTACTGGCTTAGGGTCATGGCTCGATCACGATCTTATGGGGGTGTCCTACCCCCAGGCGCGTTTTAGTCTAGTCGCTTTTTCTCTTTAGGCCTCGGCCTCCTTTTTTGCCAAAAAAAGGTGAATAGTGAATATGAAAAGACATAATGTAATTATTAACTAAATGAGGGTAATAATGGAAAAATATGTACAAAAGATCCAAAACGACATTTATTTGGTTAATAGTTGAAAAGGCCAAAATGACATTTAAAAAAATAGAAGGGAGTATTATTTATTCTCGTTTATTTCATTTATTAACTTCTATAATTTATTATATTCATACTTTAAATGATAATAACTTTTTTATATGTAGCCCATTTTTTGGGATATGATTTATCAAATTAATTATTTTTTGACGATTTTTGTTTTACATCTATATCACATATAGAAATTTAAAATTAATTCCAACTATCTTTATAAATAAAAAATAAACTTATTTATCAATCCAAATTAAAAAAGACACAGACAAATGAAATTATATATTATCTTAGTACAAATATTTATATAATTTTTTTCTTACCATATATAAACTTATTATATAAATAGAATTCCCACTATTTTTTATTTTAAACTATTCCGTAGAATATATGATTTGAATTTATAACCGAGTGGTTACAGATATTAGTGTAGATTTTCTATGACATGCAAGACTATATTAATTAATTAGCGACATATTTAGTGATTATATTAAATATTATGCATATTAAAATTATTATATTGCAAAATCCGAAGGGTTACAAATATTAGTGTTTAAGGAAATGTGTATCTTGTGATATTAGAGATTTATATATGTGATTAGTATTACCATAATAAATCAATCAGTAATTACCTAAATTGTGCATGTGAAACATACCATAAAATGTTTAAATAATTTCTAAATTTAGTAAACAACATTTTTTGGCGGGAAATAGTTACTATTTTAAAAATAATCAAACCTTTTTATATATACTAGTAAGAATCCCGTGCGATGCACGGAGATTTCATAATTTTTTTTTTTTTTTGCAAATCTTTATTTTAACAATGTATTAGCCCGTTAGTCTGTTTATATTAATATAAATAACATTTTAACATATATATATTTTTAATAAAAATAATAATAATTTTACATATTTTGGTTCATGATAATATTTAAATATTATTTTATTCAAGAATTTATTGTCGTATAATGTCAATATTATTTATAATATTTTTAAAAGTAATATTCTTTTTTTATATAATGATATATACTTAATGGATATTAATATTATTTATTGATGTGATTGATTTAAAAATATATAAGTAAATCTAATGTTTGTTAGGAATTTGATAGATCTCGATATTTTAAGTACAAATATAATATATATATATTTATATATGTACATATATATGATATGAATATCTTGAGATACAAAAGAAATTTTTATATGATTTATTGCCATAATAAATCAGTCGCAATTACTTAAATTATATTTTTAAAACATACCATAAAACATTTAAATAGTTTCCAGAATTATTAAAAAATATTTTTTTGGCGGGAAATAGTTACTACTTAAAAAATAATCAAACCTTTTTATATATACTAGTGTGTGACCCGTGCGATGTACGGGAAAATAAAATTACGATTGTGTTGTAAATTAAATATACAAATAAACTAATCAAGATTTACCCATCATTTTTAAATTAAACCTTGTTGGACACAGTCCGACCGGATTGACCAAGAACTGGTTTATAATCAGTCTAGTTCACTTGAATAAAATTTGGCTATTGAATCCGTCAACATCAGTCGGTCGAACTGGTTGGGTCGATATGATTTTCTAAATAAATTTGACTATATTTAAATTATATTAAATAAAATTACATATTTAAATAAAATAAAGATTTAAAATTGTTTCTCAATTAATTTAAATATTTAAATTTTTAAATTGTTTAGCATTTTATTCAATTTATTACAAAAGTACTATATATATATATTAAAGCGTATTTTTAAACAAAAGAATTAAATTGCCCGATATTTATAAATTAAATTGAATGATTGTATTTAATCGTATAAATTAAAGTGTATGATTTTTAAAGGAAAAAAATAATAAAATTACTATTTATGGGTTGCATTAAATGCTTACCTATTTTTTTGCTACTAATTTTTGTAAATAGGATGGCTCTTTATATAAGTATTTTAGTAAATAGGATGATTCTTTATATAAGTATAGATATAGATATCCCCCTGTCCCTCTATATATTAATTCAGAACGCGCTGAGCCTATGTGGCTGCTTCTGGTACTTCGGAATCCTATGTGGCAAAATGACATGCTTCGTTATATTAGGCTTGGGTAAATTTTAATTTAATTTCAAACCAAAAATAATTAGGTTCGAATTATGATTATTTATGGTCGCGTTACATGTATTAATTGCATTTTAATATCATTCCTTATTATAACTATTGAATTGTATATATATTTTAAAAGTTAACAACTTTTGTATTTTTTATCAGTTTTACATATGTAATATATCAAATTAATCTTCTTTTGATGAGTTTCGATTTAACATCCATATTGTGTGTATAAAAAAATAGTTTATATTTATCTTTATAACAATAATAAAATTATTTTTAATATTAATTAGAAAAATAAAATTATTTATCACCTAATATATTTATATTTCAAATAGTTATATGATATGTTATAAAAACTAATATAATATAACACATGTAAGTCATAAGCAACACATATCATTCTAAAATATATTTTGTAAAAAAGTAAACTAAATTTAATATAGTCTATATATATATAATTACTAGCTCATATGCATTTAATAAAACCTCAAATTTTTTCCCTCCAAAAGAGGTTACTTTGCATTAATTAAGTATTTAATTATTTTGATTATTTTATTATATAGCAATTACTCCTAACAAATCATAAAGTCACATAAAATGAAATTATAATTTAATTTTTTTTAAAACTATTTATTTGATTTTTTTTATTTTTATTTTTGGTTTTAACTCATTAAGAAAGTGTTTTTATCAATATTAGTTATTTAATTTTTATGATACAACCAAAATTCTCAAAATTTCGATACTATAATAATAATTATTTCAATATTATTTTATCTAATCATTTGTTCATACTAAAAAAGTATTGCAAAAATTATATAACTTATGATTTAATATGTAAGTTAATAGTTTATCGTTCATTTTTACTAATGATAAAATTTATAAAATGTGATGCTATTATCTAACTTTTGATTTTAAATATTACATACACATACATATAACATATAAACTTGTATTTGCATCTGTGCATGTGCACATGATCAAATAATAGTTTTCTCATTAATTTTAAAATTTAAAAATATTTTTAACAAGCACCCGTGTAATACACGGGGGTGTTGTACTAGTAGATTATTAATGCGAAAAACTAAGAAAATAGTAATTCAATTCAGTCATCACTATTAATATTGTTATCGTTCGGCCTTTTAACTGCGACACTATATGCAGTTTTAGTGCTCAAAAGAAAAGAAGAAGAAAAAAATATTTGAACCAAAATTTCCCTCTGTAGAGAAGATCATATGCTCAGTTCTAAAATTCAAAAAAAAATCGCCAAGTCCATTCCCACACTTCCATCTCCAGCTATTTTCCGACATCCCAACAATTTCCGCACACTCGCAAGAAGTTGTTCCACGATTTCACCTGCGGACGCTCATTTTTCTTACGCACACAATGTATCTGACAAAATGCTCCACAGAAAGCATCAGCCTGGACAATCTACGCTCACTTGGGATGATGCTTCCAAGCTTCTCAGGTCCGCCGCAATGGAGCCAAATTACACAACTGCCCCAATGCTGCATGCTCAGGCCGCCAAACAAGGCGTACTCTCGGATTTGCCCACTGCCACTCGTCTGCTCACGGTTTACTCGAGACGTAAGGAATTTGTGTCCTGTTTGGATCTGTTCGGCGAAATTCTCGATAAAGATGTCGTGTTCTGGAATGCCATGATGAGCGCGTGCGTCGAGAACAAGCGTTTCCAAACCGCAGTCGGTTTTTTTGAGAAAATGGTCCGTGGGGCCCACGGGTTCGACCACACGACCCTTCTCGTAGTTCTATCCGTATTTTCGAACCTGAAAAGCCTCGGGCACGGTAAAATCGTTCACGGGCTGGGTTTGAAATCCGGGATGCTTTCCGAAACTGTTTTGAGTAATAACCTGGTTGATATGTACGCCAAGAGTGGAGATTTGAGTTCAGCCCAGTCTGCTTTTTCCGAGATAGAATGCAAAGACCAAATCTCGTGGAACTCGATCATCAGTGGGTGTTTCCACAACGGCCGGCCTGAGAAGTCCCTTTCGTATTTCATGCGGATGGTTTCCTCCGGAAGCCAAGCGGATGACACGGGCCTCTCTTGTGCAATGGCGGCTTGTACTTGCCTGCAGGCGTATGACTTTGGTCGAGGGATTCACGGGCTGGGATTCAAATCGGGCTATTTGGATAGTATCTCAGTTGCCAACTCTCTTATCTCGTTCTACTCTCAGTCACGAGATATATGCGCGGGGGAATTTATCTTCTTTCAACAAATGACAGCCAAGAATGTAGTTTCTTGGAATGCCATGATCAAGGGTCTTTTTGTGTGTGGGGAAAATGCGAAAGGGTTTACTCTTTTGCGTGAGATGCAGTTTGTGGCATTTATCCAACCCGACATGACAACATTAGTTACTGTAATTCCGTATCTGGCCGAGCTAATGCTTTTACGGGAAGGAAAAGCTGCTCACGGCTGCGTAATTAGGAGGGAAATGATGTCAGAAGTATCAGTCGTCAACGCTCTCATTAATTTGTATTCCAAGTGTGGAAACGTGAAAAAGGCTGAATTTTTATTCTCGATCATGCCTAAGAAGGACTCAGTGGCTTGGAACACTATGATATTCGGCTACTCCCAAAACGGGAAATCTCGGGAAGCACGAAAACTATTCAAGAAAATGATGGGTAGTTACACGGCACGCTCGTTGGCGACTCTACTGGCTATTATTCCATCTTGCGACTCTCAAGAATCACTTCAGTTCGGGAGATCGATTCATGGTTGGAGTATGAAATTGGGATTTTCAAACCACATATATGCCTCGAACTCAATCATGCACATGTACATCAATTGTGGGGTCCCATCGGATGCCTTTGCATTATTCGAGAGTCTACTGAAAAAGGCTGATATCACCTGCTGGAACACCATTATAGTTGGCTGCAGTCAGAAAGGCCATTTCCGCGAAGCTTTGGTATTTTTGGACCGAATGAGAAAAATGTACTCCCAACTCCATCCGAATTCCATAACCCTAGTAAATGCCATATCGTCTTGTGGGAATCTCGGTTTACCGATTCACGGAAAGCTACTTCACGGCCTTGCGGTAAAATCCGGAGCAAGTACTAATCTGCAGGTGCAAAACTCACTAGTGACGATGTACGGCAGAGTAGGGGATACCGAGAGTGCAAAAGCGGCTTTCGACCTCAGTAGTGGCCACAATTTATGTTCTTGGAATTGCCTGATATCGGCTGTCTCACAGAACGATGATGCCAAAATCGCACTCGAACTCTTTCGCTCACTTGAGTTCGAGCCAGACGAGATCACCATATCTACAGTCCTCTCGGCTTGTGCTCAACTCGGGGATGTAACTTACGGCACACAGATACATGGACACGTTGTCCGGTTTAATTTCCACAAAAACCCCTATATATCTTCTGCTCTTATAGACATGTACAGCAATTGCGGGAAGCTAGACGTAGCCGAACGGGTTTTCTCGGGCTCGCCCAAAAAATCGGTCTCTGCTTGGAATTCATTGATTTCGGGCTACGGGTTTCACAACTCGAGCCCAAAAGCAGTTGAAAAATTCCAAGAAATGGTCCGTTCAGGTGTCCGACCCACAAACGGCTCGTTCACGAGCCTCCTCTCTGCCTGTGGTCACTCAGGGATGATTGACGACGGCCGGAAGTATTACGAGCAAATGTGGTCTGAATTCAACGTGCGGCCCACGACCGAGCACCATGTGTGCATGGTCGACATGTTGGGCCGGGCCGGGAAATTGAACGAGGCCTTTGATTTTGTCAGGAGTTTGCCGGGCAAGAGTGAGGCGGGGGTGTGGGGCGCCCTCCTGAGTGCGTGCGGGTATCATGGGGATCTCGAGATGGGGAGGAAAGTCGGGGAGGTCTTGTTTCGGCTGGAGCCGGAAAACGTGAGTTATTATGTGGCTTTGTGTAATATGTACGTTGGTGCGGGTATGTGGGAGGAGGCTGTGAGGTTGAGGGCTGTGATTCAGGAAAAACAACTGAAGAAAGAGGCTGGTTATAGTTCTGTTGATGTTGGTGTGAGGTGAAAATGTACAAGTGCTTGCTTTTTGGACCAAAGAACTGTTGCGTGTATGTTTTCAGTTATATCTGATATTGGGTTCAGAACAAAAACCCATGTTGAGGTTTGTCTATCCACTATCCTTGTACTCTCCTACACACACACACACACTCACACACACACACAGAGAGAGAGAGAGAGAGTAGGCATTGTATCTGTTATTTATAATTGCATCCTACTAAATTCAATGGAATGTCCGAGTTTTTGAAACTGAAGATTTTTTTTTTTTTTTTTTTTTGTTCGAAGACATTGTGAGTTCGGGAGAATTCTTACAATATGAACTACAAAAAATGCGAGAAATATTGAAGCATAAGTTAGAGAAGAGAGTTGCTCTTTCTGTAAGATGAATACGTCTCGTAATGTTTTAACGGATTTAAGCATCTCGTCCCCAAAGATACAATGACTACGTCAGAAGTTGTAATACTATTAGACTTACTAGCTCTGGCGAACTTGAATGAAGTCGAGTACTGAGCACGGTCAGGTGCTAAGCCTACTGTTTTCAAGTGTGTTAACAAACCACTAACTTTTCATAGAGTCAATAATGTCCAAGTTCAATGAACCTGGTAAAGGTGACACGAGTTAAATCCAACTCGAGCCCAAAATTCAATCCACCAAAAATTTGTAAATAAATTTGCAATAAAAAATTATAGAATTTTGGGCCAAGGTCTAAACCCAACATCGGCTCAGACCTCCAAGGTCGCTCAAGTCCAATCCGACCTAAGTACCAAGGTCCAAAGCCAATACCCGTGCTGGAGCAGAGCCGACCAGCGGGCATGAGCGCATATAGCCAAAGTAAGTACCAACACTTAGTGTATAGTTTTTTTTGTTGTGATCTTTCAAATTCTCTTTATTATAACTTGTATGCAACTTATGCTATGTGCGAGCTACATTCATCATGGACTTTTATAAATTAAAGGTTGTTTGGAGAATAAAAGAGTTATTATACATAAGACAGTTATCCAATTATAAATTATTTGACATAAAAAAATATATATTATTATAAATCTTCTCGTGCACGTTATTAGGTTGATTTTTTGGAATGCACACAACAAACATGTAGCAAATTTGATTTTCAACTTTAAATTGATTTAGAAAAAAAAAAAATATGAAAGTGGTGATTCACATATACAGTTGATCAATATTATGATTTAAATATTTTATTGCATCACGAAAAATTGCGCGAAAAATATTTAGGAAATATTAATCTCAAATCTTTAGATTTTTTTTTTTATGAAAATTATGGTTCACAAAGAGACGATTTAAAAAATAAGTAAAAAAAAAGGAATAGTATGTCTGTACTAGCTAATAAGTTAGTGTTTATAGTGAATTTTGAGCTTATAGCCGATAGCTTCTAATTGAATAGTCAGCTGATATAATAAAAGTGTTTGATAAAATTATTTTGTAAGCTGACTACTCAACGGGTTTATATGAAAAACTATTAAGAAGGCTTATAATATAAGCTTGAGTTTAAAAAAAAAAAAAAAAAAAAAAAAAAAAAAAAAAAAAAAAAAAAAAAAAAAAAAAAAAAAAAAAAAAAAAACTCACCCTACCAAATAAAATTTATTTGAATGAGGAAAACTTATATAATCAAATAAGTTCTAATGTTAGCTTATACTGTTTACCAGACACACTCAAAAAAGTTTGAGAGTTACCACATGGAAGAGAAGAAAAATAGTAGAAATATATATAACCTAACTATCTCGTTTTAATAAAACAATTTAATTTTAATACTAATAGAAAATACATAAAAAATAATAAAGAGAACATTCTATCTTCAAATATTTTTATATAAAAAAAAGTCCATAAACAAAAATAACTCAATGAAGTCTTGTTATTCTCTTTGTCACTTAGACATCTCTAGCTCCTATCTCTACTCTAGTGCGGACTTTACTCTACTCCAGAGTAGAGTTAAACACTCAACTCCAGTTTTTATCTTTACATTTTACAAACATCAAATATATTACTTTATATTTGTTTTTATTTCAATAAATCAGTATATATATATATATATATATATGCATCTTATAAAAATATTTATTACTCAAAATAAAAATGTATTCTTATTTAAAAATTTTATCTAGAATAAAAATTTATCTTTAATTATGTTGTCTTTATTTGTGTATCTTGTGATTTATGTGTGTTGAAAGCTTCTGATTTTAATATTATGTTGTTTTTATTTGTGTATTTTATGATTTTTATTTGTGTATTTTATGATTTATGATTGTTTTAAACTTTTAATTTTAATGAAATCTACTTGTTGGAATGTATTAATTTTTATTCATATGGTACCATTTTAATATTAAATAAGTGTAAACTAAATTATAATACATCAATAAATAAAAAGGACAAAAATATTTAGCATAAAGAATACATTGCACAAAGTTATTTAGCATAAAAATACATTTATTAATACACATTATACAAAAATTTATTACTGATATTACATTAAAACAAATATGTAGCTACGCTACTGTGTTGCGCCAGATGTGGCGCAACACTGTAGCTTTCTCCAAAATGGCACTAATTTGTGGCGCAGCATTGGTGAGGGATTTTCGCTACAATAGAGTAGAGATTGGCTCTCTGGCGCAGCATTGCGGAAGCTCTTAAAACTCTTTCCTTCTTTCAACTTTTGTAGAAAATCTGTTTCTATTACTCCAAAAAATAATAAAATATAATCTTTTCTCAACTTTCAAGATTTTCTACAAAGAATCATATAAAAACACAATTAAGATGAAACAATACCTCCAAAACCACAAAATATTCATCATTTCCCAAATTTCAAGATTTCCTATAAAGAATCAACTATCATCAACAAAACACAAATTCCAATATTTCTTATAAAAATATTAAAATTTAATTGAAATCTACAATTAAGCTCAAACAAACATAAAAAACACAACTAACATGTCAATAACATAACCTATCAACATCAACATTAGTTATTGCATTTTAACTCAAATCCACTTACAAATGTACATCAAATCTAATTTCACCCTATCATTTTTTTTCCACCCTCAACTCACTTCATCCAACAAATCAAATCTAACCCAAACAATCCACTTCTAATCGCGAGGTTCACAAAAGAATAGATTAGATATGCATGATGGTGGGTTCAAGGGTTATCCTTTTACTTGGGCTAACAATAGGCAAGGGGAGGGATTTGTTGAGGAGAGGTTGGATACGATTTTCTTCTCCCCAGGTTAGCTTTCCAGTTTCCCAAACTCCAGGGTTAGCCATATTCACTTAGTTTCTTCTGATCACTGCTTACTGCTCTTGGACACAGCAATTCAATCTCAGAAGGGAAAGAAGAGGTTCAGCTATGATGAAAGATGGCAGAAACATGAGGGGTTTAAGGAAATGGTGGAGACTGCTTGAACATCTCAGAGATATGGAAATGACCTATTTGGAATCCAGAATAGGCTCAGGGATGTTAGGGTGGCCATTCTGAAATGGAAAACAAATCTTAAGACAAACTCAACACAGCAGAGTGTAGAGCTGCAGAATAAACTGAATGAGCTAGTGCATCTGGGAAAGGACAAGGATTGGGAGGCATGTAACCAATGCAAAGCTGGGCTTCACAAAGCCTATTTGGAGAAGGAGATTTATTGGAAAAATAAGGCTAGAATCACTTGGTTGAGGGCAGGGGACAAGAACACAAGATACTTTCATGCTTGTGTCAATCAGAAAAGGAGGACCAACAGCATTGAGCATCTGACCAGAAGGGATGGGACTAAATATGGATCTGAGGAGGAAACTATGGAGGAGACTCTGAATTTTTTTGAAGAAAACTTTAGGTCCTCTCAGCCAAATATAAACAGTTGTAGCCTGGAAGGCATTAAAGCAGTGATTGGAGACCAGAAGAACCAAACCCCTCACAAAGCCCCAGGTATGGATGGTTTCACCCCTCTTTTTTAAGTCTAATTGGAGCATTGTCAAGCATGATGTAGGGATTGCTATCAAATATTTTTTCAACCAGAACAAAATGCCAAATAATTTGAACCACACCATCATCACTTTGATCCCCAAAACCCAAAACCCCCAGAAAGTCACAGACTACAGACTCATTAGTCTGTGTAATGTCATATATAGGTTGATCTCAAAAATTCTGGCCAGTAGACTTAAGCCTGTCCTTGATGATTGCATTTCTCAAAACCAGGCAGCTTATGTGCCTGGTAGGCAAATTATTGATAATGTAGTATTGGCTAATGAATGTGTGCACTTCCTTAACAGTAAGAAAAAAAAAAAGAAAAGAAGGGTTTATGGCTATAAAATTAGACATGGCTAAGGCTTTTGACCGTGTGGAGTGGGCTTTCCTTGTTTTAATTCTCAGAAAGTTGGGTTTTTTCAATAAATTAATTGGTTGGATCCTTGCTTGTATTGATTCATCTTCTTTTTCCTTCAAGATTAATGGCCAGCCTCTTGGCTTTATCAAATCTTCTAGAGGTCTAAGGCAGGGGGATCCCCTCTCACCTTACCTCTTTATCATTCTTTCTGAGACCTTGTCAAATTTAATTAATCAGGCCTCTATTCATAACCAATTCCATGGATTCAAACTTGGCAGGCATGCTCCTGTAATAACCCACCTTTTTCTTTGCTGATGACTCCATTGTGTTTTGTAAAGCAACTGCCCAAAATGCCTCTGTTCTTAAATATATCCTGAATAACTATGGGCAGGCCTCAGGCCAGCAAGTTAATATTTCCAAATCTTCTATCATTTTTTCTAAAAGCACTCTGGATGAGCCAAAGTCCCTAATTTCTAACCTAGTGGCATTCAGATAGTCAGGTCTTCTAAATATCTAGGGTTACCCCTAGGTATTGGAAGATCAAAGGTTGATACTTTCCATTTTGTATCTGAGGTGGTTTTGGTTAGAACTTCTAATGGGAAGAATTGCTATTTGAGTGATGCTGGTAGAATTACTCTTGTTAAGTCTGTTTTGAGTGCATTGCCTTTATATGTTATGTCTTGTT